AAAAAAAAAAAAAAAAAAAAAAGAGGGGGAGAGAGAGTCCCTTAGTTACGTGTATCACATAGGTACTGACTCTTCAGCTATTTGTCGAAAAGCAAATCTGGAAAGAGAGATGCAATAATGAGACCTGAATAAGTTGTCAGGTAGTGTGTGAATATGTAGTGTTTTCTGCATGAGCTGCAAAAGGAGTTGGACCCTGTATGTTTCTTAATGATCAGGAGATCTGATGGTGAAGAATGATCCCATTGAACTGGATTTTCTCTGAATTAAGGACAAAAGAGAGGGGCTTTGTCTCTGAGTTATGATGTGAAAGCTTAGATGAAGTAAATTAAATTTTTGTTTTAATACTTACATTGACATAAGATTCTAAGCATGCGTGCAAGTCCTTGTTGAAAAGCTGCACTTCGTGAATTGTAATTCAGAACTTGCCTTTGAAAATGCTGAGGTAGGCGTGGAAATGAAGTCAGCTTAACCTATTAAAATGTGTCTCTGAGGTATGGAGGAAAAGTAATCTTCTGCTTTTTGACAGAGAAGCACTGCACATTTGTGGTACGCTCTACCAGGTGTGCTTAGCATGCTGTAGGGTTCATAGTAAAAATGTTGGGAGTTCAATAGTAAATGCAATAGCATCACCTTGTGGTTAGTCAGAATATAATATTCCTTCACAGAGGCACTCAAGATTTTCCTGAGGCCGCTTGTGAAACCATGGTGTTTATACACACTTAAAAAAAATCAGCTATGTTTTTCATAAACAGATATGTGTAGAAAGTGTGTATATAGCATGCAAGTATACAAGGGTATATGCGTGTATATATATATATTTTTTTTTTTAACGAATTGAAGTATGTTTCTCTTTGAACCTCCTATGTGCAGGTGACTGCTGGGATAGTCTTGCACAGATTCATACCAAGTCTGAAAAGTTCAGAGGTTTCTCTAAGATTCTGAAATCTTAACAGCTTATGTGGACTTGCATAACAAGCTTGATGTATTAATGTCAATTTTAGTCTGATTAATGTTAACTACATGTTCAGTATAAAACGTTTATAAGTCTTGATGTAGTATTTTCAAGCAAACTGGGTATTATTATTTCATGTGTGCTTTCCCTGGTTCACTTTTGTTTATGTTTGCAAGGTATACCTGAAGAGATAAATATCTGTATATCTTTCCCATGTGGTGATAGTGAGAGTAGTTGTATATTTCTAGAAAAATGGTTAAAAAAGTTTTTTAGCATTTTTGGCTGGATATTACAGGCAGAGTTAGGGGATTAGTTTAAATTTAGTCCATATCCAAGTATACTATTTTTGCAGTATTTTGCTATACTGAGGTTCTCATTTTTTTTCTTCACATGTCTCACATGCATGCTCCTTTCTATCTTTTCAGAGGCTGCCAAAAAAATGTGCCATAGTGCCTGTGCATGAAAGAAGAGAGAAAATACAATTATTTTTTTTCAGTTACTAATCAGCAACATTTAGCACTGTAGAAGAGTGGTGATTCCCCTATTGTCATGTTTGAGTAGCCAAAAGTTTCTACCTTTGGTCTGGAGGAGTTTCTAAAAATAATTTTCCAAACTTTGGAAAGGACTCTTTTTTTCTCTGATCTTCATGTATAAACATGGTTCTGTCAGATTTCAGTCTTCCATAAAATAATTCTGTATGAATAATTCATTTTCTCCTCCTCTCTGCTGTGCAGATGCCTTATGATTAGTAATTTCTAGTAACAAGGTTATGTGATGTAAAGGTAATAGCAGGATTTGCAGACCAGCTGCCTTATTTTCACAAAATGTCTCTTGCTATGATATTGACTAGAAGTAAATGAACAGGAGGACTTATTGTAATCTTCATGTGTTTTGCACAGAAAATCGTTTTAACAAATTGGGTCTCCAAAGGTCCTTCAACTAAATCACTGGATTTATACCATGTTTCTGATGCCAGTTATGGAAGAGTTTATTCCTGTCCACTAGACCAAAGCTATTCTTTTTGATGCTTCTGGGATCTCCAGCTTAAGTATATGCTACACTACCCGCGGTTCATTATTTGGCTACTTTCCTCTGAGCCTGGTGTGATGTAAATGTGGATTTTGTAGCAGTGACTCCACAGAGCTGCTGAGTGCAGTATTCCTAGTAATTACTCCAGGCCGCAGCTTGGTTCAACTTATGAACACAGAAACTGAAGTGAGGAACAGCTTGGTTATGTTATTCTACTGAGAACTCCATAGTTCATGTAGATAATGTTTTTGAAGTAATTCGATTTCTAGACAGAAAACTGTTACAGTAATATAGATTATTTAGGCTATAGGAGTAACTATTTCTAAAAATGTCTAATTTAATAATAAAACCAGAACAAAGTAGAACTTCTGTCCCTATTTATCATCTTGTCAAATGAGTTTACCTGTTTCCCTCTCTATCATTGCCGTTGAGCTGAAAGAGAGAAGGGAGTGGAGGAGTGGAGCAGCAGCCTTATACTCTTTAGAGAGTAAGATTCCTGGTAGGGAATTGGTTCTGATTTTTGTATTTCTGCAGAAGGTCAAGTTTGTAGTGATTTTTAAACCAACACATTTTACCTGGTGGTGAATGAAGAGCATGTCAGCTGTTGACGTGCTAGCATGTTAGATTGTAGTAGCCTGTTCTTATATGCAGTCTCCATTCACAAAGTATTCCTCTTTTGAACTCTTTACTGTAGTACTTTACCTTACTATAAGTATCTTTTAATGCTTTATTTTTTCTAGGAGCAGAATAATACACTGCAGAATTTATGCAAGAAAATGAAAGAAGTGGAGGTGGAACACACTGGCTGTGCTGAACTGTTGAGGCGTCAGGCTACTGAGCTTGAATGTAGTGCTGAACGGGAGCAGCGACTTAAACAAGAACTTGAAGTAAGACTTTTAGACTATTACTGTTAGTTTCAACATGCTCTGACAAGCTGAGCAATTTCAGTTTTGAGGGATGGAACCTTCCAGTTAGGCTGTGAATTCTATGTACTGGATTAACAAAGTGTTGAATATGAGTTTCTTGCTGAAAAGACTGGACAGGCAAATGCCACTTACACTGTCTGACTTGAGACTGATGTTTGAACAGCAGATTGGGAAAAGCTTATGCAAACATGAAAACAAGGCTAGCTTTGCTTTAGGAACTATATACATTTTCCCCTAACCTCTTAGTTTGTCTACCTTTGTATCTTTTGGTCTTAAGAACAAATTTTGAGAATGAGTGCATTTGCAATGGAAAATATATTGGAGCTGAAAAAGTCACCAGATGTCGTGCTAGGTAGAGAGAATTGCATACTGGAAGATCACAGCGGTGTTAAAGCAGCCTCTTCCTGTCTAGACTTGAATCTACAAGTAGTTATATTTTGGCTGTCTGTCGAGTAACACCTGTCTCAAGTTTTGAAGACTGATAATGTGCTTCTTTTACTGAACTGCTCATTCTCTCCTAAGTTTTAATGTTTTGTTTCTCCACAAATAGGCTTTGTAGTAACTGTGTTATCTGTATGTACTATCTGGACCAAGACTTTCTTGGTAGAACATTTGTCACTCCAGAAAGGCAGTGACATAGTGAGCAGATGATTCTTTATCCTGATACATGTTTTCTACCAAATGCATCTTTAAATGTTTTCTGCAATTCATTTTCAAGAATGGGCACTTGCAGGATACTAGCACACCTAAAGGAATAAATGACATACACTTTTCAACTGTGTTTCACAGAATCACAGAATCCTAGGGATTGGAAGGGACCTCAAAAGATCAACTAGTCCAACCCCCCTGCCAGAGGAGGATCACCTAGAGCACATCACACAGGAACTTGTCCAGGCAGGTTTTGAATGTCTCCAGCGAGGGGGACTCCACAACCTCTCTGGGCAGCCTGTTCCAGTGCTCTGTTATTTTTCCCTTAAAGGCAAAAGAAGTGTTTAAAGCATTGATTGATAGGTATGTAGGGCCTTGCATTAAAGATGAAGTACAAAAGAAAATTCCTACAGGGAAGATCAAACTCTTCAACTAAAACCACTGACTTATTGACCAAGAAGGTAGACTTTTGTGCCCTCAAAGAGATCTCTGGGAAATCTATTGTCAGGTATTGTGAGCTGCACATTTTTTGGTCTAGGCAGAATCACCTTCAGTTGGAAAGTGCTATGCACTGTCAAGTTCCAACAGCTCTTTTAAAAGGAAATATTTTTGCATCCAAGTACATGAAAAAGGGCCTGTTTTGTTCCTTCATGGATTTTAGTATATTTAAGTAGGACTCGAGAACCAAGGCAGCAAATTATTTCTCTTTCTAAATATGTTGTTTGGGTGTGCTCACTCTGTACATTTGAATAGGAACTACTCAGTTCCTTGAAAATATATTAACTGCTGTGGCCTGGTGGTTATTTTATCAGGGAATGCTATCTATTAACTGCAAAGAGCTAAGATATTTTCTTTGTTGCATAGTTTTTATTAGATTATTCTACCTTATTGAATCTCTTAATAATGTTGTTAGAAAACAACATATTCAGACTACAGAAAAATCCAGTCTCATGGTACTTGTTGTAAGTACAGATATTTAACCAGTAGTTAAGGAATGTATGTGATTGAACTTCTTCCATTCAGAGGTTTAAGCAAATTAGCACAAATCCCTGTGAAATAGAAAAAAAGTCTTTTAGACTGCAATGTGTATGCTTTAGTCAGCTTGCATCTCACTTCACCATCTCAAAAGTAAATTGTATGTAAGTGTCTGAAAGGGCCTACAATAATAACATATTCATTCTGTACTTCAAGTCCAAGAGATGAGGATCTCTGAAAATACCTTTATTCTTTAAGAAGCAAAAGCACCAGATATTTTAAACTTTCAGTATTGATTACTGTATACAGTATTCGTTACTGTAGACTTCATACTGGATAGTAGACTCAAACACAGAAGTTTGTGACAGCAGCATCAACTGCGTCTTACCAGGTACCAATACTCTGCATGACCATTTGTGCAGAACTTATTTTGCCTTTTCTGTGGTCATGAAAGACTAGGCATTATGAATTTGAAAAGTCAGTTTAATAAAGTCTGTCTGTTTGAAGTTGCTCTCTTGCCCATAATCCTCTCCCAAAAATAGATATACTGAGGAACAGTTTAACATGAACAGAGTTTGAAATCTAATCGCAACCTTTCTTTGATTTATAGATTTGTCATTCCTCCTCCTCTGTTAGCTGTGGAGCTCAATCAGGCAGAGGTGTTGTCTGTCCTTCATGCTGAAACAGTAGGAAGACCACAGCCAGAGGGGCCAGATGAACTGCTCTTCACCTCTGTAGCTTACTTTTTTGAATTTGGACTATGACTTTTTAAAAGGCCATGCTGCATTTCCAAGTACAAAGAAGTGTTTTTGTGAAGTTTGGAGGTTGTTGGGGTTTAAACACGTTGCTGCCAATAGAATTTCCTCCTCTGCTCTAACAGCTGTGTCACTAGCATTCTAGCCTCTGTGGATGTTATTCTTAGTTGCCAAATTCTTCCCATATATTGTGGAAGAGACATTACAGGAGGGTGCTAAAACTTGGACAGTAATTTTCACTGTGTGTCTCGTCTTGTGGTTTTGGTCATCTGGTGTAACTCTCACACAGTTCTGTGGTATTCTAGCTGTCAATTTAAAGCTCCTCCTTCTATGGGAATAAGCATTACCCATGTAAGAAATATGGATTAAGTTCTGATAACTTCCAGCTGTGGTTAAATACCACTCTTATTTTTGCCTATGATATTAGTGTTTGAGATGGATTTCTATTCAGATACAGAAGCCTTACACCCCAAACACAGTGAGCTGAAATTTTTCTTGAAATAGACCCTATATTTCTTTATTTCTCTTAATGGAATTTTTAGCCTATGGATGGAAGCTTGGGGTTCGGGGGAAGATGGACATGCGAGACCCGTCTTACTTCAGTTTTCACGCAGAATACCTTATGTTAATGTGCATTTGGTTAGAAAATGTCTGTTTTAAGTTCTTTATGATGGCAGCAAATTTCTGAAGGTGATTTGTGTGAAGGATAGTGTAATTCTAATTAAAAGGCAATCTTGTAAGTAAGTTTTTTGTTACATACTTTTTGTTATACAATCTTTTGTCATACATGACTTCTTGATAGGCAGTGAGTATGATTTTTTTTTATTTCACAAAGCTGTTCCTTTACTACACTCTGCTGGGCATAAGGGAGAAGTTCATGGGAAAATATGCATGTTTCAGCAATGAAAGGTTATAATAAATTTAGATTACGTTTCTTTTTGTATGATGGCACTCTTAGGAAGATCTATATTTAATAGACTATAGTATGAAGAAAGGAAAGTGAAAAAAGTATGCCCCCTCTCCCCCTTTATTTTTAAAAAAGATTAGTCTGGTTTTCTAGCTTTAGTCTGGTTTCTAGTACATGTCTCGTTTCTGAAATTAGAAAGTAAGAGAGAGAATAATGGCAAGTTTCTGTGGACTTATCAGTTGAAAGGTAGCTGTTAGTACAGTATCTAACCTGCCAGCTCTTTGCTTTGCAGGGATGCCAATGTGGTGTGCTGTTGCATGGGCATGGAGTTCTTGGAACACACACTGTTACAGAAAAATGTTTTTATTGAACTCATCAAGATACTACCATTTACGATAATCAGTTTCCTGGAACCAGTGTATTTTATTTTAGGCTTTTACTCCATTGCTTTGGAAAGATGATTTCTTGGAAGATGTAGAGAAATGTGTATATAAAGAAAGTGTTTCTTATGTGTCTAGCTGCCAAAAAGCTTGGTGGGAAAGCTATTTGACAAACAGTGGAGGAAAGGGGATTATGTTTTTTACCATGAGAAACAGAATGATTAGTTCATAAATTTCAAACTCATTGTTTTGCTCACAGAAATGTAGTGATTTTCTGGTTTTTGTTTTATGTGTTTGAGGCTGCCAACTCCTATTAAGCTGAAGCTCAAGGTCTCTGAAAGTTTTTAAGCCTCTCTCATGAGGCCTGAAAAATGTCCCATAACTTGGTTGATTTTACTTCTGAGACTGAATATGCTGCCATACTTCTGAGACTTTGAGTTGCCATTTAAAGACCATTCCCTTAGCTTTCACATTCCCTTTCCTGCTCCCCCACCTGTAAGACCTTTTCATGTCCTGCTAAATATGTCATCTTCTGCTTGCTTCAGCAGCACACGTACCAAAATTGGAATGATACAGAGAAGATTAGTATAGTCCCTGCACAAGGATGACATATGAATCCGTGAAGTGTTCCCTATTTTTTTTGCAAAAAATAGGCAGTGTCAGATGGCATTAGTGAGCACACCTGTGGGAGGTGCATCCACGTAGAGGAACTCCTCAGCTTAGTGACAGAGCTCTGGGACGAGGTGAGTAGGTTGAGGAGTATCAGGGAGTGCAAGAGAGAGAGACTCGTGGAATTGCCCCGTGCCTTCCCTGGAACAGGTCCAACAGGCAGACAGGATGTGTGATCCCCTATCTTCTCTCCAGCTGCTGAATACAGTGACTTAAAAGGTAGGGAGCCATGGCCACAAGTTCCTGCCTAGTGCATCAGGTGTGCCTCCTACTTCCTTACTGCTTCACTTTCCCAGGTGCCCAAGTATAGCAGGTATGAGGCTCTACAAGTGGAACTGAGCAATAATGAGGATTTCATCTCGCTTGGAGGTGTCATTGAGGTTAAGTCGGCCTCTTCCCTGTGTCAAAATGCTTCTATGAAGAAAAAAGATGGGTCATTGTCATAGGACACTCCCTTCTGCAAGGAACAGAAGGCCCAATATGCAGATCAGACAATTCTTAGGGAAGTCTGTTGCTTCCCTGGAGCCCAGCTAAAGATCATGTGGTTTGGGCGTAACCAACAGCAAAGAATGAGCCACGTGGCCTCTCACTCACCTCCCCCTCACTCCTGCCAGCTGTGTGATGGGG